TCGCTAATTGGTGGAAAAAAATCAGTCATCAAGGGTAGGCAGGCTGGTGTACAAATAGATTGCCATTTTAATTTATTGATTGATAAAGTTTTTGGAAACACATGTTCCCATCTTCTCAAATATGAGCTGAAATTCGATAGTTTATTTTGATTTTTTGACGGATTACTTGGATTAATGGTGTTATGTTTATAAATTTGTCGTGTTGGTAATGTTTTACCGGGTGATTGTTTAATAAAATTTTTTCCCTTCTCACTTACACATGAACTTTTAGTTGATTCATGATGACTGCTGGTTGGTGAGGGTGAAAGCTCTCGGTGATGGGTATCTCTTTGTAAATATCTTGATGAAGATGTTGGTGATTTTATGGAAATTGGCCTGACTGTACTTGAAGTGACTACTGTAACATCGTCATCATCTGTTCTAATATCGTCGTGTGATGTTTGCGAATTGGATCTTATAATTTTATCTCGTTTCAAAGATACTTGCAAAGGATTGTAATTACTATTGTTATTATTATTATTATTATTATTATCGAAATTGTTATCATTATTTGTTTCAGATAATGAACTGCCTGATAATTTTGATTTGAAAAACTGTGGAATTTGACGATTCAATTCCAAATGAGTAAAAGGCGCCATTATATGATCAAAACTTAATGTTTTTGGTAAGCTCCTTGATAGTTCATTACTATGACCTCTTGACGATGATGATCGAGTGGATATTAAATAATCATTTTGGGATTTTCGCGGATGTGAGAGATCCGGCGATTTACTTATAGGACTTGTATAATCATTAGGGTGTAGTGAAGATGATGCTTTTAAATACATGTCATTTTCAATATTATCTTTTAATGGTTTATTCTTGGGTTTTAAGGTTAATTTTGCTTCATTTCTAGAGAAAATATTTTCATCATACGCAGAATAATCATATTCCAGATCATCATCGTCGTCGTCTTTTCCTTCTTCTTCTTTATTTGTATTCTTGGCATTTTGTGAATTATTACCATCAATATTTTCGATCAAGTATGGAATTAAGATTGATGATATTTCATGTTCCATAATTCCCATCATTTGTATTTCATACATTCTACATCTCGTAACAAACTTATCAGGTTTAAAGGGTTTATCCTGATTCCTGTGATAGAAACTACAATCAATCCAATTTGGTTTTTTATAATATGATTGATAAACATAATTTGGATCGTTATCATCATCATAATTTAATGGATCTCTTGATTCTAATTTAATAATGTCTTTAGATTGTTGCAATGATTTATTATTGTTGCAATTTAAATTATTGTTATTATGATTTAAATTTAAATTATAATTATTCTCATTACTACCATTACCGTTACCGTTACCGTTACCATACGCATTATTTACACCACCATATCCACCATGTCCATTATTCATATTTCCTATTGATTTCTGATCATTCAATTCAAATGATGGAATTTTTAATAGTTCTTTTGACTTGAATTTAAATAATGGAACAGTGTGTAAAGGTATTTTTGACAAGCATACTAAATCCATTCCAATACCGTTATCTATCATTCTTTCAGTTGTTATTCTCAATAATTTTTTATCTACGTCAAATCTGCCGCATCCTGGTGTAACTATTACTATTGATAAACCTGTTCTAAGCAAATCTCTGTCAACATAATGTTTATCAAAAGGATTCAATGCTAAATTAATAGCTTCCAAGATATTTCCTTCGAACGCATAAGAATTCTTGCCTAATAGTATTTGGTAATTTCCGCCATCTGAACAATGTTTTTCCCTTAACAGAATATTCCGTTGATACCTTAACAATTCTTCTTTTAAAGAAACCAATGTAGTTGACCAATCAGATTTTGTTTCCCAATCCACTATAACTTTATAAAAATCTTTACAATACCTAGACTCATAATCCACTCTTAACGAAGGATCATCTTTCAGATTTGGATCATTTTCCAAATCATCATTATCATAAAAAATTCTGGAAAACAATACAATTGAAATAACATGATTTGTACCCAACAGTTTCCAATTATGAAATAATTCAGTGAAAAATCCATCAACAGCTTTCTCAAAAAACAGTTCACCATCATCATCAAATTCCCACATTTCCCTTGACATTTGAACAAATATAAAAAGTTTTGCAGATTCTGATCTAAAAATTGGTTTAGTATTATCTGTTACGTATCCACATGAAACCTATTTAATAGGAGAAAGGGTTTTCAGCATAATTAAATTAAATATTTATTGTCTTATATACATTAATATATGCATTTGATTTTACCTGTTCACCTTTAACAAAAATTCTTTTTATTTGAGCACGTATGCACCCAGCAAACTCAATTCTTTTACCGACATAAACACAAGTGTCGTTTAAACTAAGTCTAAGTCTCCACATATCACTTCTACCTATATATTGATCTCGAAAAGTGAATTCAACATATTCAGCTTCGACTAATTCTGGATCAACCTTTATATTAATTGATTGGTCAATTGATTTAAAAAAAATTTTTAATCAAAATAAAACCAAATCTCTTTTATAAACTAAAATCATACTCTACCTCTCTAACTATTACATTTGTTCTTGACTTAAAATTAAATAAGTCAGCAATAGACTTGATTACAGAAACATGAGATGTATTAGTATCTCTAGTTGTATTAACAATATCTTTATCAGAATTTATATTTGCCTTGACAATTAAATGTTTTGATAGATTGGGTGATTCATTTAGATTATGAATTTCAAATAATTGTCCATCCTTGATCCCAGTAAAAGAATCAGGATTTAGTACGATAAAATCACGTTTGTAGAATTCATCTTTATCTTTGTCTTTATCTATTTTATCTTTATGTACCCATAAATTTAATTTTCTCGTTGAGTTGTTATTATTGTTGTAATGGTTGAATGATGATAAATCTACATTACTATTATTGTTGGTGATGTTATTACTATTATTGTTGTTAGCATTATGATTTTGTATTGTAATATTTGATAAATATGTTGAAGCAGAAGAGTAACTACTGCTGGTGGTACTAGTTGAAATTAAATTTTCCATCAAGAATGAAATAAAATAATTCTAATATGTACAAGAAAGGTGATAAAATAAATAAAGATCTAAAATGAATTAATCACATTTGTAAACGTTACACTTGATCGCGCATTTTATATTTATAAGCAAGATTTTAATTTTTTTTTTAATAAAATAAAAATCATATTACATGTATAAAGCATACAATTTATAAAATATTTAATGGAATGCAAATTTATTTACAGGAAAATATTTACTAATCAATGATTCAGATTTATGGACCAATAATTATTCTTGTCCATCCATTTGGTCTTGAAGCTAACAAAAATATATCATTAATACAATGATCATCATAAAAAATAATATTTAATAATAATTTAAGGATAAATACCATATTTTGAAGATGCTGTTTTATATGCAGTTATTTTTGCAAAATCTGGCATTTTATCTGATTAATAATCCAATAAAATTTAATTAGTTACAATTAAAGAAAAAAAAAATATATTGCTAATGTCTGATATCAAAAAAAAACTTATAGTTTACCTCTGGAATAAGGATGATGTCTTTTAGGAGGAATAGGATTCTTTTTAGGTCGATCAGGTTTAATAAAATGCCATAAAATATCTTCATACAATTCATTTGGGAATATTGGTCTGTAAGGAGACACTTTATTATCAAATTCCTTGGTGGTCATATGAAAGAATCGAATAAAAGGTATGAAATTATGTAAAATCCTTTCCAAACTATCAAAATCTCTTTGTTTCCAATTTTCCATTCCATCAGGCAAGTTAGAATCTTGCATTGTTCCCCATATCACAATATTATGCCAAATTTCTGATTCTTTCATTTGGAGTTCGTCTCTTTTAATAATTTGTAAAAGAATTGATTCATCTAATTGATAAAATTTTGTTGATTCAAATAACATCCAAGGTTGTTTACATATTGCTAAAATACAAAATTCTTGAAGGCTTTTCCAATCATCATTTTGAAATGCTATGGTTAATGTCTCAATTGGATGTTCTTTTATCCATGATGAATGTTTTTTAACAAGATATGATTCAATAAATCCTGCTAATTTTGGAAGAATTAGTTCATTTGCTGCTGTTAAACAATCTAAAATACTCTGAACATTTTTATTTGAAAATTTTACAATTCCTGAATATAAATATCTACAAAAAAATAATTAATAGTTAATAAAATATATATTATAAAATAATAAATAATAATAATTGATGAATGTTTTTTAACAAGATATGATTCAATAAATCCTGCTAATTTTGGAAGAATTAGTTCATTTGCTGCTGTTAAACAATCTAAAATACTCTGAACATTTTTATTTGAAAATTTTACAATTCCTGAATATAAATATCTACAAAAAAATAATTAATAGTTAATAAAATATATATTATAAAATAATAAATAATAATAATTAATAAATAAATATAAATTATTTTTTACACTAAAATGATTTTAAATATTTTTGGAGAAATATTTGGTTTTGTAATTAAAATTTTTCCATCATGTTTTTTACTCCAATTTTCTGATAAAGCTGCTTTGAAATAAGGTGTTTGGGCACGAAGAACCAATGAATGAGCCTTGAAAGTTTTTACATTGTTTTTTACTCCAATTTTCTGATAAAGCTGCTTTGAAATAAGGTGTTTGGGCACGAAGAACCAATGAATGAGCCTTGAAAGTTTTTACATCATCACCACTACCAACAGTAATAATAACATCACAACTATCTTCTTCTTTAAGCAATTTGCCGTAATTCTCCAATACGTCTTCCCATAAAATGTTTGTCATTGGTATATTTTTTTTGTTTTATGGATTAGGTTTAAAAAAAAAAGATAATATGTCACGCAGCATCATAATGATTTTAATTATCATTATTTTTTTATATTCGGACTTAACTTTTATTATTTTTGCCTAAAGAATGTGACCCTTACTTATCACGCCGCCCCAGGTACACTAAAAACCCTTTTTACACGGGAGAATGCCATAAACCACATGATTTTTGGGGTAATGAATGTTCTAGTTTTTGAACTACGAGTCACGTGACATTGATAATGGCTTTACTTTTAAATGCAGTTAAGTATTGGAATTTCTAAATGTTGTAATATTTACTTGACTAGAAGAAAAATGTGATTGTGTTGAAAAAATAAATTTTTTTGAAAAACCTGGGCAATGGCTTTATTAAACAGTCATATAACTTCCAAAATTATACAATGTGTGTATTTTAACTTTTATACATATTTATCCAGGATTAAATAATATATAGTTGACTAAATAGTCAGTTGGTTGGTTATCTTAGTTGACTATTTAATCAACTATTTTGGCTGATTATTTTAGTTGAACAAAATAATGGCATAATATTTTTACCTGAAAGGTATCGAAAGTGGTTTCAAATTCAAGATCCAATATCACAGAGCATCATATGAGAGTTGCGACAGACCTACAGTTTTCAATTTTTCTTTTATCGTGCTCCACAAAAGCACATTGTCATCCGAGCTCGTTTATGATGACTGAATTTACACAGTATTAGCACAAAATCAATGATATAATACAAAATTATATATACGCGCTTTAGTTACAGCACTTTTCAACACGTTTAAATTATTCTTTGAGGAATCAAACCTATAACAGTCAGACAGGATTTCACACTTGCTGATTTTACTATATGATCGACACATCACGTTTTTCGTACAACAGACTTTAAAGGAAGAATTGAATGCAAGATTATTAACAAACAATTTTTACACTTTTAAATAAATACAATCTCGTACTTTTGCTCTTTTAAACACAATCTTTTATTTGTCAGTAACTTTTTTTGTTGTCCGGCAATGCCCTTTCAAAAAGACCCATACTTTTTAGCTTTGAAGACCTAATTCTTTATGAAAAACAACATTATAACAATCACTTTAGTGTGATAAGATAGGGTATATTGAGGGCTTTCAGAAAATATATGGTTCGTTTGGTTTTTACAGAAGAGGAAGAAACTAGAAGAAAAAAAAGTTTTTATAAGTTATTTATGACCTTTTTATATAATGTAATTTTATTTATTTTTTTCTTTTCACATTATTATATTGTATATAACTATTTTAGATGTACATCAAAGAAACAATTAAAAATAAAAAACGGTTTATAAGTTAATATAATTTTTATTTTTTTTTATTTTTTTTATAAAGGCAATATCCTGCTCATATAATTTTATTAGAATAAAGTAAATATAATAAAAATAATTCACAAAATAAATTCCAAATTAACTTTATATGAGGCTATTCCTCTTGAAAATAATTAAAAAGAAAATATATACATATTTAAATTTAACATTTCAGAAAAAACAGATATGCCAAACAAAGTCTATGAAGTTTATTCAGTCTCAATTTAACAATTTTAACTGCATCATAGATATTGTTGACTGATCCGGATATTACCTAGGTAATAGGAAGTCAGATCCAAATATAATTTTTATTTTTGTTTCCTTTTCACATTATTATACCAATATTCTCTAACTTTAGTAGATGTCCATGAATTATTTATTTTGATAGATTTTCTAATGATTTTTTTGCTACATCCTTTGGTAAATCTGTAGGATGATTAAATGCTTCTTGAAGCATTTTGAGTCCCTTATCTGTTTTTTTATGACTTTTATGTGGAGTGGTTTCAACTTGTAATATTTTATTAACTGGCGCAACTGTTATATCTTCAACTAGAACAGGTATATTGTCTCTAATTTCTGCTTCATCATTTTGTTTTGTTAATTTCTTTAACAAATTCATTATGTTCTTTAACTTTTACAAAAGCAACATCTTTACTTTGTCTACCAACAGTGGAACATGGTAATGTTTTTATAAACTTCTTGATATAATAATTCATTAAGGCATTTTAAGCCCTTTTCATCATATTATTAAAACCATTGTCATTCATTTCCTTTGTATTTTTTTAAAAAAAAAACATGTTCTGTAGGATCTGGAAGATTAAATGCATTGGTTAATTCATCAACAACAGACTATAGAATATCTCTTTGTTGTACTTTTGCTTGCTCTCCTTTGTGAATGGTATTTTTTTAATAAATTCTGAGACAAGTGATTCCTATGGATTTAATGATGATTTTTACGATCACAAAGATAAATTATAATAGATCTTTATTTATTAATAATTATTAAAATGAAATTACAATAATTTAACAAATTTCTATTTTGTAGGAATATTATAAAACATCTATTTATATTAATTCTAAAATACATTTTCTTATCAAAAATGGCTTCATCAAACAACTAAATAATATTTATATCTGTCAAAGAAAGAACTTGTTAACAATTTAATCATTGTTAAAAAAGAATCCAATATCTTTTTATTAAAACAATAAAATGATCCATGATAATATATCATTATTACCTATTATTTACTATATTAGAATGTCAACTAATATTTCTTTCTCAAAAAAAACAAAATAAAAATATTAGAATCATTTCTCTGATCATATCTTATTCATTGTTTAACTAATATTATAATTAATTGAATTAAAAAAAAAAACGTATGTATGTACCTTTTATGAATCTTGTTGTTAGCCAAAGAACACCCCCATTCATTCTTATTATTATAAACAAAAATTTCCACTAAATTTATTAGTAAGGAATTATTTATTAAATAATTATAATATTGACAGTTGACTACTCAACCCAAAATCAATAAAGCAATTTTATTTCTAAAGGTGGTTTTCGTTTTCATTGAAATTACTAAATTTTTTTAAAATTTTACTAAAAATGGTAATGTCATTAAAAACTGAATGAATAACTTTCAACTGGTAATTCTTTTTCGTTTCTTTATGAAATCATACCTAAAATTTTACAAGGAAATAAAATAAGTCTCAAAGAATGCGTGTACAAAATATCACGTTCCTTGTTAAAAACTATATATGGGTGTACTAGTAACAAACAAAAAAATAACTTCGATTTTAATAGTAAAAATTGACATGTTTCACAAAAACTTTACATAGCTATGACAGTAGACATGTCGATCGCGTGAAATCCTGTCTGACTGTTATGAAATTATTGCAGTTGTTTCACGTATCACGAATTAATATTAATATGAAATGATGACAACGTAATCAATCAAATAAGCCCCCTCCTTAGGAATCCCTAATATTCATCAAGTTAAACGGACAGCCATTTGCCACACACAGACAGCCCTGAAAGGGTTAAAAATAAAATAATATAACAATCATATAAAAAAAAAAATTATATAAAAGCAATTTTTTTAAAAGGAAAATATATAAACATTTCTTTTAAAAAAAAATTTAGCATATAAACGAAAATTTGTTTTTTTTTTAATAAAAAAAAAAATTCCACACTAATAAATCCATAATAAAAAAATTTTACAAAAAAATGGATAATAATAATAATCACGATGGTTGGATTAATGGTTTTTATTTTAATGATGATACTCAAAACTCTATCGTCAATAATTTAATTCTTCAAAATCCTGGTGGAAATAATTTCACTCACCAGAACCCTAATTACAATAATAACTTATTTCATAATAATTTTTTTGGCCAGAACTCTGCCAACAATAACTACGCTCATCAAGACACGACTTATAATAATTTTATTCGCCAATATTATAGTAGCAGTAATTTTGTCCGTCAAAATAATATCAACAGCATTGTTAGTAATAATGGTCTCGTTAATCAAAGTTTGATTGGTTCAATTAGTATTATCAATAATAATGATAATGATCTCGCTGATCAGGTTTCAACTAATGCTACGAGTACTACTCATCAAAGCTCTGCCAGCATTAATTTCGTTGACCAAAATAATTATTCAGATCGTCATCATAGATTATCAACTACAGAAATTTGACTAGTACTAGAGATTGAACTAGCTTGCATCAAATTTCAACTTTTAATGTCATAAGTCAGTTGTTAAATAGAATTAACAATAATGACTCACAGTTAATAATTCGTTAATGTCAATGACTAGTAACTGATAATAATAAAACAATAATAATTTTTTTTTATAAAATAATGGACAATAATAATGTAATATTAATTAGTTAATTTTCTTAGTTTTTTTTCTTTTTTTTTTGGTTTTTGACATTGTAATTCAAAATTAATTTCAATAGTAATGTCATTATAAACAATAAGCACACATTTGATCTTAGAAGACTTTAAATTTGTAACGCTTACTCTTTTATTCGACGCCTTTATTGTTCATATAAGTTGACTAGCTATTTTTAGGGTTTACTTTTGTGAATTAATTTAATTAATTATATTACAGAAAATAAATTTATTATTTGAATTTGTGTGATACAAAAAGACGAAATAAAAAAAATATATTCATTTCTTTTTTTTACAACTAATTTATCTTCATCTTTTGGATAATGATGTAATTTATGAATCTATTTTCTCGGTCAAGTGAATTTTATTAAATTTAGGTATATATTGGCAGCACAATAATTACATCTTAAGCGTGTAGTCTTTGCGTAAGGTCGATTTTTTCTCATGTGCTTTTTATCTCAAATTTATAATTAATTTTGTTTAGTATTATTTTGTCTAAAATATATTTTTTTTAACCTGCAAAAATAGAGGTTTTCTGGAGAAAAAAAAATATATATATAAATTAAATAGGATAAAGTACATCTTCATAAAATAATAATATATTTTTTAAAATAGAATAAATGAATGAGACACACTGTTTATATGTTGTTTATTATTTTGAACACTGTATAAAAAAATAAAAATCAATAATAAAAAATTAATAATAATATTACAAATTAAAAAAATGTCGTACAAGTTTTTTGAACCGATTCATATAATGACAATTACATTCATTTTACTTGCAAATAAGTAAATTATTAATAAGCGAGTGAATAATAATCAGGTAAAGAAATAATATACACACACGCACACATATAAACTATTATTAAAGTATAAGAAAAAACCATCTCAATTCAATTTTTTTTTACTTCAAAAATGCTCAAATATTATAAAGAATATTACAATATATAGAACATGATCAGGTAAAGAAGTAATATATATATATATATATATGTAAACAATTATTAAAAAGTACAAGGAAAAAATAATCTCAATTCAAATTTTTTATTACTTCAAAGATGACAGAGAATCGTTAAAGAAAATACAAAATTGGATTATAAAAAATATTACAACTAATGTATAGAACATGACAGGGAGGTAAAGAAATAATATATATATATATATACACATGCAGTATATATAAATTATTATTAGAAAAACAATCTCAATTCAATTTCTAATTACAGTGAATCCTTGAAGAAAAACAAAACCGGATTATAATAACTAATATAGAACATGATAAACAGTAATATATATATGTATAAACTATTATATTAAAAAGTATAAGAAAAAATAATCTCAATTCAAATTTTTTTATCATTTCAAAGGTGACAGAATCCTCAAAGAAAAACAAAATTGAATTATAAGAATATTACAACTAATGTATTTTAAATATAACCTTATAACAAAAAATCTTTTATGTTATGCGGTATATATGTATATGAATATCTGATAGATGGGAAATCTTGGGGGAAGGGATGTTATTGAAAAAAACCATATTCATAGCATTTATAATTATTTTTGAAGTGCGTATTGGCTACCAACCCAATGCAAAGAGGAAAAATAGCGAAGGAAACTATTTATTATGATTTGTGTATACATTTTATATTGATAATAAAGAATTCATTCCAACTGCGTTGGATGTTGACCATCTTTGAAAGTTTTAAAAAGATAAACTATCCCTTAAACTGTTTCTGCAGCATATATGCTGTAGTTTTTACACATAATTTCCTAATTAAAAATTATTTTTGAGATTGTGTTATTAACCCAGTAAAGGAAAAACAGTGTTACATACTGTTCTTAGTGATGAATGATTGTGCAAAGTAAAGGAACAAAAAAAATTACTTTGCCGATCATTGTATTATTAATTAGGTGAAAAACCTTCTTTCTCTAATATTTGGTGTACATTATGTGATGCTCCATTATGTTGTAATAGTGGTAGAAACTGGTTTAAAATTTATCACGAAAAACAAAATATCAATTTAAATGAGGATTAATTAATTATATTTATCATGAATAAAAATTTTTACATTTAATACATATTTCAGGTATATTATAAAGTGAAGATTTTACTAATTATATCTTTACATTGGCTTTAACTAAAACTTAAACTTCAAGTTCTGAGGAATAAAAATGGTATAAGTTTTAATGAGGTCATTTTTTTTATTTTCTTTTTAAATTTTTTAAAAAAATACCTATTATTAGAATATAAATTTTTACTAATAAAAATAATTAACAAAACTATGAAAAATTCAAAAAATTTTATTATTGTTGTTGTAATAATAAGTGATCGAATTTATCATATTTTCATATACATTTTAAAAGATAATTTTAAATTCCTTATTTTCTTTCTCCCTAAAAATAAAATTTTTTATTTTATTTAAAGTTGCTTATGAATAATAAGTGTAAGATATTTTTTTACTCGATTTTGGGAAAGAAAAAATTCCGCACCCAAACGTAATATAATAAATTAATATTAAAGTAGAAAAGATCTTCGGAATGCATTATATAATATATTTTCTAAAATAAAATAGACATTGTTTTTAATGTTTATTTATTTTAAACAGCATATAAAAGGTCAAATTAAAGAAATGGCCAAAGTAATGTTGTTTCTCATTAATCAATACTTGGTTCCTAATATTCTAGCTTTTAACAGAGTTTTCTGAAGAAGATAAAAATCAAATGTATGGATTAAATCGGACAAAGTATACAGTCTATAAAATCATATTTTTTAAAACATATATATTGTTTGTATGTTTTTTATTATTTTAAACCATATATAAAAGATCAAATTAAAAAATGGTCAAAACACTTTTATTTCTCATTAATCAATACCTGGTTCTTAATAATTTAGTTTTTAACGAATAGAGAAGTTTCTCGGAGAAGTAGATAAAAATCAAATATTTCTTATTTATATGAATTAAATACATCGTCTATAAAATAATAATATATTTTTTAAAATAAAATAACAACACAACACACTGTTTATATGTTATTTATTATTTTAAGCAATATAAAAAAATAACCAAAAAATACTGTTACTTCTCCATTAATTAATCGATACTTGGTTCCTAATAATCTAATTTTTAACGAATAGAAACGTTTTCTGGCGAAGAAGATAAAAATCGAATTTTCTTATGAATTAAATACATCGTCTATAAAATAATAATATATTTTTAAAATAAAATACATTTTTTGTGTGTTTTTTATTATTTTAAAAAAATATATAAATTATCAAAAAAATTTGTTCGAAAAAAAAAAATTTAAAAAATTAAAAAAAAAAAAAAATTAATAATAATAATAATAATAATAATAATAATAATATTGATATTAATAATATTGATATTAGCTAAACATCGACAATAATTCCGTTCATCAAAACATGATTTATATCATATATCAAAATGTCGATGGTATTAATTACGTTCGCCAAAACATGTTTAATCAAAATTCTGGTAACGATAATTACATTCGTCAAAACATGATTTATCATCACATTCATCAAAACTCCGGAGAAATTTATCAAAACATTGTAATTGTAATTGGTGACAATAATAATCCCGTTCATCAAAACACATTTTATAATACAATTTATCAAAACCACGAGGACGTTTATCAACATGTCAGTGGCAATAATTCCGATCATCAAAACATGGTTCATAATAATCCCATTCGTCAAAACATTGGAGAAATTTATCAAGACGTCGGTAACAATAATTCCGTTCACCAAAATATGATTCATAATACAATTTATCAAACCCCCGAAAACACCTATCAAAATGTTGATGACAATGATTCCGTTTACCAAAACATGATTTATAATTATCCTATTTATCAAAACCCTGGAGAAATTTATCAAAACGTTGGTAATAATAATTCCGTTCGTCAAGACATGATTCATAACACAATTCATCAAACTCCTGAAGAAATTTATCAAAATGTCAATGAGAATAATTACGATCATCAAAACATGGTTCATAATAATCCCATTAGTCAAAACACTGGAGAAATTTATCAAGACGTCGGTGACAATAATTTCGTTTACCAAAATACGATTCATAATACAATTTATCAAAACCCTGGAGAAATTTATCAAAACGTTGGTAATAATAATTACGTTCATCATGACATGATTCATAACACAATTCATCAAACTCTTGAAGATATTTATCAAAATGTCGACGACAATAATTACGTTTATCAAAACACTGAGAACATTTGTCAAAGCATTGGTGAGGAGAGTTACATTCGTCAAAACGTGATTTATAATCACCAAAATAATTTCGTTGCTGAACCGAACTCAGCTAATATTATGAGCGTTAATCATCAGAATTCTGTTGAATAACAATAACAACAATAACTGATATGTCAGTATCAATGTTAATAAGAAAAATAGATTAAATAACAACATTGATAATGATATCAATCAATTAATTTATTTATTATGTTTTGTCACTTTTTACGCAGAGAATATTCGCTTGTTTTACAGACATTTATTAACTGGCAAAAAAAAATTTAATAATGATAATTTCTAAATATGATTTTTAATTTCTTTTGTAATTTTAATGATCTCTTCGATCGTTTTTTAGGAATAAACAATAATTCTATCTAAAAATAAATAAATGATCATTATTATTTGTTTATCTGTTTTAATATTATTATTAAATCTCAAAAAAACGATTTTGTTTCATTTTTTAGGATCATCATAAATAACCAATCAAATCATAATCAATTCTATCCAATTAAAAATTTGAATATTTTTTGTAAAAAGCTATATAGCATTTATTTTTTTTTATTACATATGTATAAGAACGGTCACTGTTTTTCCTTATTTATTTTTCCTTGACGAGATTTTTTTCACAATGAACTGACACTTTTCCACCCAAGCTTAATTCAAAAAAAAAAAAAAAAAAAAAAAAAAAAAAAACAAAAAAAAAAAAAAAAAAAAAAAAAAAAAAAAAAAAAAAAAAAAAAAAAAAAAAAAAAAAAAAAAAAAAAACAAATGCAAGACAAATTATAAATTATTTGTTGCATGTGGCGCAACCAAATA